GGATGCTAACACCTCTGGGTGAAGGTGACTTCCTTTCCCCCAAATAGCTCCCGCCATTCTCCTATCTCGCTTTGCAGAGTTAAATGTCACCTGCAGGATCCAATCACTCACTGTGGAGAGGAGCTTATAAAGGAGGCAACTATTCCCAAGTCTAGATGACTACAGGGTAAGTTTCAGATGCAGATCAATGTTGGGTCCAAATAACGTACAAGGGCTTTTTCTAGTCCCAGGCACTTCTTCTCTCAGTGTCTTCGTTATTTGATGACTCTGCATTTCTCTTTCTGCTTTCAGAGGAACTTTCTCCTACTGCTCCGCTAGTCCCACTGTAAGTTCCCACCCCGGGGCCTTTCTAGATCAGGATGACACTCGCCCAGGGCTTTCACTGGCTTCATCTTCCTCTGATGCTAATGTTCCTCAGAGGTTCATTTACTGGACCGTCCACAGAAGGGACCTAACTTCAGTACCATCCACAGAAGGGAAAAGCATGTTGAAATTCCATGGTTGTTCCAACTTTACCCACCAGTTTGATCCTGTGTTTGAGGCTGGCCAGGTCCCTCCTCCCATCTGTAAGATAGGTTCCAAGCTCAAAATTTGAAGCAAGGCTACAAATTAAGCTCTCACATGATTTTTATGTTAGTGAATGTTCTAAACAGGCAGCTGAAGGTCATTTCTAATAAAGGTTTCAGTATCATTTCTCAGACTTCTCACATAATTTTTTTTATCTTATTGTCGTGTGTATTTGTTTATTCCAGTGTACTCCTCTTCAGAATACTTCCAATTAGTATCCTCTTCAGAATACTTCCAATTAATACTTCCAATTTGGAGCCTTGGTGACACTGTGGGTAAGCGTTGGACTGCTAACTGTAAGGTCAATGGTTCAAACCCACCAAACATTCTGAGTGAGAAAGAAGCAATTGCCTACCCCATGAAGATTCACAAAGTCTCAGAAATCCTATGAGTTGAAATCAACTCAATGGCAGTGGGTATTTTGTGAGTTTCAGACAATAACAATGGATTATTTGGGCTTTCTAAGCATTCTTTACAAATTAAAAAAAAGGGCAATATATTTAAGTTCATTTTCAAAAAATAATGATATTGTTCTTGAGTCTTCTTCACAACCATTTGAAACATGGGTTACTAGCGTTCGGAGTGTAGTTTGGGATCAGAATGAAGCAAAACTCATCTGCTGAATTGGGGACTAAGCCTGTGTCCTTTACCTCACTACAAAAGCTATCCAATCTCCTGGGTGATTTTTCAATGATCAACATTATATATGGATATTCAGTTTGTGGTCCAATAATGATTCTGATGTCTTTTTAAACATGCTTGTACTAAATAATCATTCATAATTGTTACTAGACCATAATTCAGAAGCATATTGCATCAATACCATTACAGTCTAAGACTCTGTAAGAAGAAAATACTGAGTCCCAAGCAACGAGAATTTTTACATACAATGTCATACAATGAAAGAAATGGGCAACTTAACAGATTCATGGTAACCAAATTATATTCTAGTCTGATTTTAGAATTAGCATTTAACTCTACTACCGCTAGGTTTAGAGACTGGACAACAATGTCAGTTGAGAAGCTTTGACAGATTGAGTCGCCAAACTTGTAAAATCTTTTTTTTTAATCATTTTATTGGGGGCTCGTACAATTCTTATCACAATCCATACATCCATTGTGTCAAGCACATATGTACATTTGTTGCCATCATCATTCTCAAAACATTTACTTGAGCGCTTAATATCAGCTCCTCATTTTTCCCCTCCCTCCTCTTCCCCCTCCCTCATATGACAAAATGAACCCTCATGAACCCTTCATAATTCATAAATTATTATTATTTTATCATATGTTACACTGTCCAACGTCTCCCCACACCCTCTTCTCTGCTGTCTACCCCCCAGGGAGGAGGCTATACGTAGATTCTTGTAGGACAGGGTTGTTGGAAATCCCATAGGATTTCCAAAATCATAAATCTTTAAGTACACAGACTGCCTCATCATTCTCCCACTATATAGCCTCAGGAATTAAAAGATAAGATTTTGTTAATTTATTCTCATTGCGATTTAAAGGGAAAAAGTATAAGTTGACCTCATTTTACTGGGCTTTGCTTTACTGTGTTTTGCAGATATATATAAGTATATTTTGTTACAAATTGAAAGTTTGTGGTAGCTCTGTAAATCTGTCAGTACCATTTTTACAATATTTTGTGTTCCTGTGTCACATTTTGGTTATTTTCACACTATTCCAAACTCTCACAATATTCCAAACTTTTTCACTCTGCTTTTACATGCTTAACACACTACAGCATATTGTAAACTTAATTTGTATATTCATTGGAAAGCCTGAAATTTCATGTGACTGGCTTTATCATATTCTTTATTGCAGTCATTGGGAACGGAACCAGCAATACCTACAAGGTACGCCTGCATTGTATCTGAAGGGGAAATTCAAGTCTTCCCTTGTAAAGATGCCCTGTCATTTACCAGGTATAATTCATCGGGACCCCTTGTAACTTAAATCATGTATGGCCCATCAAATTCTCTTTGCTCTGATTCAAAACTCAGAAATAGTCATCTGATTTTTTTATTTTATAGCCAGGGATCTTGGAAATAGTAAGTAGGTGCCCGGAGTAGTAGGCACACCATTTCAATCCCAGAAAAGAGCTCTCCCACTGTAAACTAACAAATTGGTTCGGTTCGTAAATCATCCTCTCGGGTATTTGAATAATGTAAATTAATCTCCCAGAGCCTGATTCCTCTAGAGAGTCCCAACCACTTCAGGTTTCTAAATCTGCAGAGTTCAACATCAGACCTCTGAGACCCCAAAAGATTACAGCATCCCTTGACCCCCGACCAGAGTTACCACAGGAGCTTGTTCAGGTCAAGGCTGCTGCTGGGCATGGTCAGGCACGTCTCAGGGAATTTGCATAAATACTTAAACCCTCTGCATTTCCTAAAGTTGGGAGGCAAGAGGAGACCAGTGTCTATCACCTCGAGCACCCGGGCAAACTCCCTGGTCAGGTTTTCTAAATTCAACTATCACTATTTTTCTGGGCTTAAAATCTTCTAAAAATCACAACTGCAAATCCATTCTCTGGATGAGGAGACCATAACGTGGGGTGGCAAGATTTATTCTGTATTGAACTTCTGCAACAGAAATACTTAAACCTGGGGGACAAGACTTTGATCAAGCACGGATACCGTGGGTTAAAATTAAGAGTTTAATATCAAGATCATTGAGTACAACTTGATGATCTTTAATGTTCACTCTTCACCAGAATTGGGTCCTGCATTTTATTTCCCCATCTCAGAGGCTCAGTGAGGAAATCAAACCCCAAGGACCTGTTCTGGAAGGTCAATATCCATTACAACGCTCACAGTTAACCTTTTCAGCCATGGTGCTTTGCCTGCTTCACAAAGACTGCCTCTTCGCTGCTATTTGCTGTCCCTGGGTCAAGACAGAAAGGTCCTCCCCACAGGAGTGCGTAACCCACCAGGGCTCTTTGTCACTAATCCAGGAGCTCCTGATATTCCTTGTTTGTGTCATGCTTCTGCTTCGGAGTGAACGTAAACTAGACCAAAGCAAAATTAAGTCATTTCAAGTTGATTGGCATCGCATCCCGAGCCATAATTTAGAAATTAGAGAATTACAGCAGCAGAGGGAATTTAAAAAGCTCATTAAACCCAATTCTTTTCCTCAAGTGGGAAATGTCAATCAAGGGGTTGGACTAAGAACTTGAGATAACTTCCACTCTGAAAGCCACTTCCCCTCTTCCATTCTTGTTTCAGTCAGGCTAAGAGCATTTCGGTAATCTCTGAGTGTTCACCATACCCATCCCTCTTTTCTTCCTCTGCTCCCTTCTTTTACCATGTCCTAAGACTAAGTTATTATACACACATATAGTGCTGGTACCGATAACAATGCAGGGTGGTGGTAGTCCTCATTTAGAGCAGTGGTTCTCAACCTGTGGGTCACGACCCTTTCACAGCGGTCGTCTGATTCATTACAGTAGCAAAATGACAGTGATGAAGTAGCGACTAAAATAATTTTATGGTCGGGGGTCACCACCACATGAGGAACTATATTAAAGGGTCACAGCATTAGGAAGGTTGAGAACCACTGGCTTAGAGTCTCATGGGCTTTCTTTTCTTCTGAACTGTAAGAAACTTGAAGAGTAAATTTGTATATCATCAACAACTGTCACATATAACTGGTCGTTTAATGAAAATTCTCTTTCATTCTCTCACTCACTCGCTGTCTGCATATACACACACAAAGCACTGCCATCAAGTCAATGTAGAATCAGTCCATTTGGACTGGGGGTTCTGAGGCCGTAAATCTTTACAGGAGCAGATAGCCTCATATTTCACTCTCAGAACCACTGGTGGTTTTGAACCACTGATCTTGAGCCAGTGGTTACCAGACTTTGCCACCAGGACTCCTCTGCACCATAAGAGGATGGGAATTTCCCGTTTCCTTCTGCATAGAGAGCAGCAGTTAAGGCCATTTTTAGCTCTAGCAGAGATAGGTCCATAGTTTCTAGACCTTTCTGAAGTGCTGATACTTAATAGTGAAACAAATGTCCCTTATTACATGGCATGTTTCCCGAAAACTCATTTGGGGAAAGTGCTCTAGGTGCGAACACTTGTCAGCAAACTTTTTCAGTAAAGAATCAGAGTAAATATTTTAAGCTTTCTTGACCAAACTCAATTACTCAAGTCGACCACAGTAGCACGAAACTAGTCCCAGACCACATATAAATGAATGAGCCTAGCTGTGTTTCAATAACATTTTATCTACAAAATAAAACAACATTTTATTTACAAAAAAACATTCCAATCTCTACTGTAAAACATAGCTTCCCTTATTTGTCATCTTTCCCTCTCAGAGAGAAATACCATATGGAGCTTCCACCATCATTTTCTCTAACTCCTTCTTACTTTTTGCTGACTCCTGTGTGGTTCATTCTCTAGGGAAAATCTCTCCGGGGAATGGAAAGAGTCAACAGCACACTGGTGACTGAGTTCATCCTGACTGGAATTCCTTACCCAATCAGGCTAAGGACGTTTCTGTTCGTATTCTTTTTGCTCATCTATATCCTAACTCAGCTGGGGAACCTGCTTATTCTAATCACTGTCTGGACAGACTCACAGCTCCACGCCCGCCCCATGTACATCTTCCTTGGTGTTCTCTCCGTCATTGACATGGGCATCTCCTCCATCATTGTCCCTCGCCTCATGATGAACTTTACTGTAGACATCAAGCCCATCCCATTTGGTGGTTGTGTGGCCCAACTCTACTTCTATCACTTCTTGGGCAGTACCCAGTGCTTTCTCTACACACTGATGGCCTATGATAGGTTCTTGGCAATATGCCGGCCCCTCCATTACCCTGTGCTCATGACTGCTAAACTTAGTGCCTCGCTTGTGGCTGGAGCTTGGGTAGCAGGGTCCTTCCATGGGGCTCTCCAAGCCATCCTAACTTTTCGCCTGCCATACTGTGGGCCCAACCAAGTGGATTACTTCTTCTGTGACATCCCTCCAGTATTGAGACTGGCCTGTGCAGATATAACCGTCAATGAGCTGGTGACCTTTGTGGATATTGGAGTGGTGGTTGCCAGTTGCTTCTCGCTGATCCTCCTGTCCTACGTACAGATTATCCGGGCTATCCTGAGAATCCGTACAGCAGAGGGGCGGCGCCGGGCCTTTTCAACCTGTGGAGCCCATGTAACTGTTGTCACTGTGTACTACGTACCTTGTGCCTTCATCTACCTGAGGCCTGAGACTAACAGCCCCCTGGATGGGGCAGCTGCCCTATTCCCCACAGCCATTACTCCTTTTATCAACCCCCTTATCTACACACTGAGGAACCAAGAGGTGAAGCTGGCCCTAAAAAGAATTATCAGAGGCCCAGGGGCTACGAGTAAGGTTTGAAAGTGTGTGTCCATGGTGTGTATTCAATATTCTTTGGCAGCACCATAATTGTAAGGCATCAATTCTCTTTTAGTCTTCCTTATTCGTTATCCAACTTTCACATGCATATGAGGTGACTGAAAATACCATGGCTGGGGTCAGGCACACTTTAGTCCTCAAAGAGCCGTCTCTGCTTTGTTCACACTTTAAAGGCTCTTTTGCAGCAGATTTGCCCAGTGCAATGCTTCCTTTGACTTCCTGACTGCTGCGTCCATGGGCATTGAGTCTAGATCCAAGTAGTAAGAAAGCCCGTTTCCATTTGTCATCATGGTGTTCATTGGCCCAGTTGTGAGGATCTTGCTTCCTTTATGTTGAGGTGTGGTCCGTACTAAAAGCTGTAGTCTTTGATCTTCATCAAGTCCTCTTCACTTTCATCAAGCGCGTTGCAGGTGCTAATGACCTGGTGCAGCGTTCTTCTTCACACAGGCCAGCTTCTCAGATTATTTGATCAGCGCACAGATTGACTAAGTATGGTGAAAGGATATGACCTTTCCTAATTGTAAACCATGTATTACTCCCTTGTTCTGTTGGAATAACTATGTGCAGGTTTCCCAGGAGCGCATATAAATGTTCTGAAATTCTCATTCTTTGCAATGTTAGAGTCAAATGCCCTTGCATAGACAATAATACACAGGTAAACATCTTTCTGGTATTCTCTGCTTTCAGCCAAGATACATCTAATATCAACAATGATTGCCTTCATTTCATGCCCCCTTCTGAATTTGGCTTGGATTTTTGACAGTTACTTATTGATGTACCATTGCATCATTTTTAATTATCTTCAGTAGAATTTTACTTGCATAGGATAGTAATCATATTATTAAATAAATTTCATATTCTACTGGATCACCTTTCTTTGGAATGGGTGAGAATAGGGATCTCTTCCAAATGATTGTCCATGTAGCTGACTTCTAAACATCTTCCCATAGGCAAGTGAGGGTTGCCAGATTTACTTCCTTTTGTTGAACTTCTCAGTTG